TTGATGTCATGAACCCTTCAATCACTTCTTCTATGACAGTTGCCATTGCTGACTTTTCTTTATCCCAGAGATGTCACGTGGGTTTGTTCTTATTTCTGGGCTCCCTCTTCCTATTATATTGGGCCTGTGAGGCCCAGATTAGCCTTGTTTGCTCTGATGAGCCTTGGGCTGGTCTCTTCTGGTTTTTTGGGCTTCCATCTTTTCGCTGGGCTGGGTGTGTCAATTTTTGGCCCAAACAGTATCACCAGCTTATTGCGTTTTAGGTATATACAAATTATGCACTTCCTCGGTTTTTCATTTTTGACATATGGCCATTGTTTGACCTCCATTTCCTGTAAGGAAAACAAAGAACACATGAATTTAATTTGGAATGGATAGATAGCTTTCCATTAAACTTTTTGGCAAAACAAAGTAAACAGAGCAGAGCTTCTCCAAGCAAGCAAAGGCAGGATTGAGTTGATGACCATTAGTTTAAACATTATTTGATCTAATAGGGAAAACTAATTTTTGGAACAACTAATGAATCTTCAAAGAGATAAAGAACAACTAGTAAACTAATATGTAGTTTAACTTTGCATAGGTCATAGTGCTCAACATGATATTTGGCAACCATCTCTATACTTAGTGTATATTGCAGGCTTCTATGCATTCCAAACCTTCATTCTTCTGTGATAAAACTGTTAAATTACCATGATTTCTAACACATGGAAGTAAACAAACGAATCTGCACATTTATTTGTACATGCACTCTGCGCATTGCACATCTGCGCAACTATTAATCACCACACCAATGTTTCAAAGATTGAGTCAGAGGGCAAAATGATCGATTACATATTTCAAATTAATCATCTGCTCATACGAACTTGGCCTTAAAACTGTACTAATGGTAAATATACTGACAGAATAGCTATTAATGAAAATTTCTAAACAAACAAGGGACTTATTTTTCTAATATTGTGGTGGAAGCGTGTTAAGTGATTTTTCACATTTGTTCATGGGGGTAAAGTATATCTTACCCCTTTCTAAACATTATGAGGTTTCAAATTCCAATAACAACAGAATGCTAAGCACAAAAGTAGAATTGCTGCATAAATTATTTAAAAGGAATAAAGTCAAAACTAATTTGAGAAATCTTAAGAAAGCTGCATGCTTCACTAAGTCCACTAATAGATTCTCAGTGCAGGAAATGAAATATACCTATATCACATAAATTGCAAAGAAAACCACAGAGACTAAATGTCAACACTGGTTACAAAAATGAGTAGAATTCAGTGGAAACGAACACGTCGTTTCAAACAAGTAAACTGTTATACGTTCATAAAGAGCAACTATGTTTATATATGGAGGTGTACGAAATAGTTCAACTTCAAAATGGAAACAGTTTATGTGCCATGTAAGGCAATGAACATATAACAAGGTGATTCTTCAACAAATTATAAGTGGACAATTATTTTCAAACAATCTGACAGCTGCCAGAGAGAACTGAGGGAGTTAAGGGATGCGATGCAATCATGATAAACACTGTTAAGCACTCAAACGAACCCATGCTATAATACAAGCCAACAGACGACCACCACTAAATTGCTCTTCAATATGTTGGTCAAGGGTGCAAATCTGTTGACGCTTCTCCAACTTTCTTACTACATGGTTGTTCTTCTTCACCTCCTCAGCGACGGCAACAGCAGCATCACCTTCCTATCAAACAAATAACACAAAATGACATCAAAGACAGTAAAGTTCATTGTGCATGTGTGTGTCCAAAAGTAAAGTTCATTACCAGAAAAGCTCCTTTATTTCATTTTGCAGGCATCGTATTCCGAGAATAAGAAGATAACACCATAAAAAATTACCTGGATCAGAATGGACTTTAGTTTCACATATTCTCGAAAGATCATCCAAAGCCAACCGAAAATGAAGGTCCAAAAGTTCATTTTTACAAATTCAACTTCTTCAACACTCGGGATATGCCACTTGGGAGCCACCATTGGTTTATCACCTGAATAATCTTTGGTGCTGATCCATTCCTCTAATGCAGCAGCATTTGGATGATGCAAAATGCACCTAAAGAAATAATATATTTTTTCTTCTTTGGCAGACAAATTTAAAATGTATGTACTCACACAATTATGTAACTAGCAAGAAAAGTTAATATACTTGTATTGATCAATAGGATAACAAAGAATCAGGCTTCCAAGAAGGGATCGAAGAAGAGATCACCAGCTCCATTGACCTGTCCAAAAAAAATCATTCAAACCATTGAACAACTTCAGTGAGCATTGCATGTAGAGACATGTATAGGAAGAAACAGTTGATCATGAGAGAACAATAGTCATCAAAGTAACAAGACCTTCTAAGATGGGGACTAAAAAGCAGAAATAATCGCCTCTTTGAAGTGATCCTTGTAGCGCAGAAGTGCAGGACCTCCATAACTTATATAGCAACTGATAATACTTTTAATTGATAGTCAATTGCTGTTTCAAGAGCTGGAGAAATTGTTGGTTTGACCTGGAAAGAAAGCATTAAGTTCATAATAAAAATCTAGGCATAGACAGAAGCAAATAGTTTAAAACATTCATAAGAGAAACTACCTTTGTTGAAACTGAGGCATCGCACATTCCTCTACCTCCAAATCCTGTAGCTGGTGTTCCTTCTAAAGAAGATATAACAGACAATAAAATTGGCTCAACAAGTTGAGTAACTGCCTCTTCTGGGTTAGAATGAATGCAGGCACAACAAAGCAGTCCAACCTCTGCAATTGCCCCAGGAAGAATATTTGTCTTCACAAACTTGGAGATCTTCTTCAAAGCCTGCTAGTGATTTGAGGAAGAGTTTACAAAATTGTCATGCTGAAAAGTATAACCATTATATATAATAAAAATTTGAGTCTTTCAAGTCAAAAACTCAGAAACCTGATTATAGAGAGGTCGTGAGAGTCTCCCAAACAAGATTTCAAGCATACAATAGTAGTAAGGACCCTCCTCGACCAGAAAAGTTC